AACTATTTAAGATAACTATATGAAACAAAATACCCCTTTACTACTAAGGAACGAGACCTGACCAGTCACCGTACAGATAGATCATCTTAAAAGGAGTAATATTCGAATCCATTCAAGCTAACCATAGATCAAGAGAACTACCACATTTAATTGCATAATCAAAAATCAGTCCATATTATCACATTTATTTTCTATAACCGATTTATATAACGATCTGTAACCAACCTTTTTGGTACTTTTTTTTTTTATCTTTGCTACTTATTTTGTTAAGTTTTTCCCATTTTAATTTGCATTTTGTACATTATGTTAAATAAATGAGTAATATACTGTAGATGATCAAATTACGAACCTATATGGCTAATTGATAATCATAATAAAATAATATATAAGAGCTATTTACATGATTTTTTTGGATATTTTCACGTGATCTTGAATTAATTTACCTGTTAAATGTATATACATTACATCAAACGCATTTTATTATTGGACCTCCAAAGATGCGCTTCATATTAATTGTTTGACCTCTCTGAGATGCATTTGGAATTTGCGTAGTTGTTTTGACTTTAAAAAGAATTCGAAATCTAAATGCATGTAAATTCTTCTAGACTTTTATGTGGTTCAACAAACAATAAACTAAAAAGAGTTTTAAACATACTGTACGTTATCAAAGTGATCATTGCAGTACAAAAAAAACCCGAATTAAAAAGTGATCGGTTACATCTCTATAAAATCAAACGTGAATATATGTTTCTTTATAATTCGTACAAAAAAAAAAAAATAAAATAAATAAGAACATGTGAATATGATAAAATCTAAGTTTTCTTTTATTTTTCAATTGTTTACATGCAAAGACGGATACTTTCTTAAAATTTTTTTTTTTTTTTAACCGAATAAACCGAATATTTGGGGAGAAAAAAATATTTTTTTTTTTAAATAACAAATTGAAAATTATTTTATTGTAAATTGAAAAATATTTTATTGTGAATTAAAAATATCTTATTGGGAGTTTTAAAAAAAATTCAAAATAATTTTATTGGTAAATTTTTTAAAAAAAAACTAACATATAATATACATAATTATAGTATATTACAGTACATATAGTACATTTAATAATTACAAAATCATACATGAAAAGAAAAAAAACGGTTCATGCTTTTCAGCCAATGTTTTAATGTTGTACGAAAATTCTCGGACTGCTTTGCTTTTTTTATTCTTTACCGGTAAATAAAAAGTTCTTATGTTAATGTTTAATGTTTACTTTATAAAAAAAAAAAATTAGGGAATCATTACTAAATTGATTACGCGATATCCATGCTAATTTAAAAGTTTAAAACGTTTTTTGAATAAATATAATAAATATGGATAATCAATGAATATAATTCGGATTTTTCTTTGTCAAGTCCACATAAGGAAAAAATAAAAATTATGAAAAAAAAAAGAATGAAAAAGAATGAAAAGTAAAAAAAAAAGTAAAATCATTGATGAATAAAAAAAAAAAAAAGGAAATTACAAAAAGAAGCATACGAATATGGCGTAAAAATGTAAAAAGAACCAGAAAAACCCCTTAAATTTTGTAGGGGTATAAAATCTGAAACTGCGGGATTTTTTTTATCCCCAAAATCATTGAGATACTTACTACCCAATTAGATGACATTTTAATAAACACATTAATCCTTTAAAGAAAACAAGAATTTATAATTTAGTATGTTGATATGGTATCTTTCTAGAAAAAGAAAAAATATTCCCCAACCTTTTTTATATATTCCCTTTTATATTTATTAAAAAAACGTTTTTCATTTAACAAATTTGGATAATTAATAATTACGTAAAAAAAATGAATTTTAATAGTTTTTAAATAAGTGATTCTTTTTTTCTTTTTTTTCGATGATCTTTGGAGACGAAGATGATCTAATAAAATAAAATACAATTTTTTGAATAAAAAAATCGCGTTAAAATTTATAAACCAATGAAGGGAATAATAGGAATTAATGATAAACAAAACGTATAATAAGTTATTATCTATTATTATCTGTTATCATTATGAAATAATGATTGTAATAACCAATGTTTGTTACATAGGGAATCCACCTTTTTTTTTAAAAAAAAAAAACGTCAGATTGTTAAAAAAAAACGTTTTCTTTTTTTAGGAGGGGAATAACCGTTTCCCGTTTTTTTTTTATTTTTGGGAAAATCTTTTATTTATTCTTTTCAAATATTAGAAATATTAAGGCACTTTTTTTGGATAGGAAAAATCGATTCCCGCTTCTTTTCTTCTTTTCATTGAAATTAGAATAATTATAATATACATTATATGGATATATATATACATTTTATATATACATTTTATATATACATTTACATTTTAAATACATTTATATACACATTTATATACACATTTATATACACATTTTTTTTTTTTTCACATTATGCTTTTTTTGTTTACTTTATTCGGAGAGGAAAATCCATTCCCCCGCTTTTTTTTAAAAAAAGACTAGATACAAGAAAAATAACTTTTTTACTAAAACAAAATAATAATAATAATTTGATCGCATCAAAAATGACGGTTTTAATTAAACGGTTAAAATTAACTTACTTGTTTTCTTTTTTTGAATTCTTTTGATCAAGATCAAATAATAAATAATAAATAATAAATAATAAATAAATCTTTTTTTTTTTCATCTTTTTTTTTAAAATTTTATTTTTTCTGGTTTTGTAATATTTGTAATATTTGGGAATAATAATAATAATAATGTAAAAAATTTTCCGAAAAAAAAAAAAAAAAATTTTTTATTATATCCTTTTTTTTA